GGCCCCTGTAACAGTGTCTTTCAGCGAATGGGGTCACCGGAGTTTACAATCTCCTTAATAATTTTGTTTTCTACTTTTTTTCAGTGAGCACATATTACTCTGAGTCAGGAAAAAAAAAGTTTCAAGGGGCTAAAAAAGGTATTAAGAATGTATGAAGAAAGCCAAAATGCCTAGACCTGATCAGATACACTAACTGACTCCACATAATACAGCCTAGGACAGCATGGACTTACTCCTCATCCTGGAAGCTGAGCTGCACCCTCTCCCGGGCTTCAGCGTCACCGCAGCAACTGGCAGACAACTCAGATGGACCGGAAAACCTCCCCTCTAAGTAGGACGCCTGGATAGCAGGACACCTGCACAGAATTACTAAGAATTAAATCATGTTTAAAATTCACCAACCAGAAATCACACAGGGGAGAAACCCTATGTACTGTTCTGTATGGGAAAGCTTTTAGCACGTTGTTATAAAATATATGAAAAAAATCCACACAGAAGAAACTCTATGTACATAAACAATATGAAAACACTGTTAGTAAACACAAATAACGCAAAACATGTGAGAAAACTCACGCTGTGGAGAAACTGTATATAAGCAGTGTAGTAGAAAGTTTTTAGGGCTGCAAGAACAGCCAACATCTTGACCGCAGCCTCTCAAGGTCAGTGAAGACTCAGGACATAGGAGAACCTATACTGTAACATCCTGTAACTCAGTTGTGTCCCAAATTTTCTAATCAAGGAGATTATGGGGCCACAGAGCAACATGATCGATGACATAGAGTGTGCCTAAGGAGTCACCTGGGGGGAAAACATTCTCTCAGGCTTTCACAGAGAGCAAATTTGTCAAGTAGTGGCCGTGACTCATCCACATGGCTGATACTGACAAAGGATCTGCAACTTGCAGTACAGGGTTATGGGATAAATCCTGAGGGTACTTGACTGACCTTATCAGATACAAAAGTTATATCTTGCTTTATCTTGGTCTTAACTATCCAGCAGAAAAGTATAAAAACAAGGTATACAAAGTAAAGCCATATTAATATGCTGAGCTGTGAAAGGCTCAAGTCAACAACTTCTGCGGATAACCCACTACTATTGTGGATTGCTGGACTGTGTTGGATTGTTTTGCTGAATTCACACACCTATAGTACTTAAATGTCAACGGAACACCCATTTCTGATAGGACTAAACAAAAAAAGGGGATACAAAAAAAGGACCATTTTGTATCTGTATATGCAGAATAGTTAGGATAGATATACAGCTACTTTCGTTTAATTCAATGAGAAGAAAGATTTGTACTAATAGTGATTGGACAGGATATCCTTTCTGCATTTTGTACTATGGATAACGACTAAAAAGATAACAATGTACAATGTATTAATTATTGACACTGTCCTATTAATCAGTTTTGAAACTGTCTTATTACTATTTGTTTCTTAATAAAATGAAAAAAGAAAGCTTTTAGTACAATTATTGTAAATACACGAAAGAATTAACAAACGGGAGAAACTGTATGAAAGCAATGTTGAAGAGCTTTTAGCATACAACGTTATTGTAAAGTACAAGAAAGAATTCACACTGGGGTGAAGCCCTGTGTATTTAGGCAATGTACAAAAGCTTTCAGTACACAAGGTTATTATAAGATACATGAAGGAACTTTAAAAAAAATCACTAACCAGCAAGGAAAAAGGACAAATAGCACACCCAGTGTTCAAAGCAACTACCTTCTGTGCTAAGCCCCAGAGACTGCATGGCAACAGAGAAATGATCTGCATCCACACCGTCACGGACACCTTAGAGCAGAAGAGAGGAGCAGCCTCTTTCTGCCAAAGGTAAGGATGGTGACCCTCATCGTACAGCTAAAGGAGGGAGAGGAGGAGAGGCAGGTACTGACCCGCCCACAAGGCCGTAGGATCTGGACACAGCACATTTGGAGTGATGTAAATAATGGTTAATTTAACCCACCACCTATCTGGTTATAAAACTAGAGTAAGAATAGTGAGGAAAATAAAGGTTGGTTTAGTCTACGAAAGAGAAACCTGATTGGGAGAACTCGGGGTTACCAGAAAACGTTGGGTCAGTTCAGGAACATGGACGGGGGTAGGCAGGAGGAAGAAGAGAGCCACACCAGCCCAGGGCAGAGCAACCCAGAATGGAAGAAGTACAAAGCAGGGGCTGGGAAGATAACTCAGTAGAACAAGCGCTTGCCTGGCAAGGGCAAAGGCCTGAGTTCAATCCCGGGTTCTGCCAAAAGAAGAAAAGAAGTACAAAACAGGTCTGCACAACTCTAAACACACAGGGACCAAACAGGGTGAGGTGGCACATGCCTGTAATTCCAGAGTTTAGGAGGCTGAAAACATGAGGATCACTATGAGTCCAATCTGTGTAGCGAGACCCTGTACTGAATATAGAAATAATAATAATAAATAAATAAATAAAAAACACACAGGGACCCCATGCCACAGCCACAAGACTGGCTATAGGAGCCACCAGTAGGTCACCCTTAGCAGGCAGTTCATGAGCCTCCTCGTGGAGCTATAAATGGACCCAGGGTCTCTTCCAAGGCTACCATCTTCTGAAATATGTAACACTAACGCAGGTACAACCAGGAAGGTGAGAGAGAGGAAAGAATGACGGAGAAGCAGAGTGAGAGGAAAACCAAGTACCAGTGCTCCCAGGCCTGACTCTGGTCCTGCAGACACCGCAGCTCACCGGGCAAGAGCAGAGGTGGGTATCTCACCTGTTATCAGTGCTGGCTCTATTCCTGGCGAGTGTGGAAACAGCAACAGGCAGCCCAAGGTTTGAAGAAAGAGTGACATCATCCAATATCCCACTGTTGCCGAGTAACGAATTGGGCAGAAAATCTGGAAACGACTCTTCTGCTATGCCTCGAAAATCTCCCATCTCACTGCAACAACAAAAGCTTTTTTTTGTTTGTTTGTTTGAGACAGGGTCTCCCTACTCAGTTTGGGCTGGCCTTGTGCTCATTTTTTGTAGCCCCCCATGCTGATCTCGAACTGGTAGCAATCCTCCTGTCTCAAGATCCCAAGTGCTGAGATTTCAGGCGTGTGCCACCATGCCTGGTTCTGGGTCAGTCAGAGCATGATGGTTCTGGGATCAAATTTGGGGACCTTGTGCTTGCCAGAGAGGTACTCAGGCCTCTGAGCTATCTCCCCAGCCCCAAAAACATTTTTAGAAATAAATACTATACAAAACCCTTCCCAGTGGCTAAACACAAACTTTAATAATCTTAGAAAATAATCTTAGGAAACAGTTTTGATTTTTTTCCCCAACATCCCTATGACAGAACATTATATGAAAATACCCTGGAGTAAAGAAAGTCCCAGAATGCCTTGCTGCTTTATAGCTGAGAGAAGACACCCAACAGCAAACTGATTGTCTTATCATTAGGACTGATACAATCAACCCTGAGTAAGACTGGTAAGAATAAGACTGTTCCAACAGATTTCAGGTAGTACAGACTAATTTAATTATTCAGCAAAGTAGAAAAATCCGAAGACCACTAAGGACTGATCACCTCTCCACTCTGCACCTGGCCCAACCCCTTCTCAAGGCTCCAACAATCACTCCAGCAGGGCCTCTCTTCCACAAACGGCCCTCCCCTGCACCTCTTCCCATGCTGAGTGCACCGTCAGCTGTCTAAGTCCTGCACTCATCCCTGTCAGGCTTCAGGTCACCGCAACAGGGCTGATTAACCCCACACTCACTTCCCTGCTGCCAGGCCCTAAACTACCTTACCCTAACAATGCACAAGATACATATTCTTTCACTCGACCTCAAGATGCAGCTGCCAGCTTTCCTCTCACCAGCTGCTTCTCTCCTCAGTATCTCCTGGGCCTCCCCACAGTGAAGGCTCAGGGTGCTCCAAGTCCTCCCTCCTTCCCGCCTAACCTTGTGCCACACTACTGGCAGTGTCAGAGCACCAAATACTGAAAGAGAGCTGCAGCTCTAGTCTGGGATTCTCCCCTAAACTTCAGATACTCAACTGCTTCACTTAGACACTTAACAGGCTCCTAAAACTCATTTTTGTTTCAGACAGGGTCTCACTATGTAGTTCAGATTGGCCTTCAACTCACTACATACTCACCTGTTACTGAGCTGTCAACTGCTCTCCTGGCCCAGCCTCCTGCGAGTTAAAACTATAGATGTGCACCACCACGTCTGTGCACACAACTTAAACCTCAACGGCACCTGCTTCCACTCCCAGGAAAATGACAACCACAACACCCACCTGCTAAAACAAACACTGGCTATCACTGGCCTCCTCGGCTCCCAAAGGCTATACTTTAAGGAGCATTCAGAGCTACCAGGTCTCAGACCCTCCACTGCCACCTCCTGCCGAGCTGCTTCCAGCTTCAGGGAAACAGATCATTGCCCTTGCTCACACACCCTGCCACACACCCCACACCTCCACCACCGCTGCAGTGCTGGGTTTCCCACAGCACTGGGGTGAGTCCTGACAGCCCGGGGTGGCAGGTGTCCCTGACCTGGTCTTCTCCGTGTTGCTCAAGTGCCTGCTGTCCCTCAGAAGTGTCAGGCAGGTGCTGCCCAGGTGGAGGCTCCAGGTATATACTCTCCTTCCACACCCAGAGCTCTGCACAGGTCCCAACCCAGCCTTGCAGCACTGATCGCCAGTCAGCAGCTAGGTGCTCATCTCTTCATCTGTTCCCCAATACAAGTTCTGTCAGTTTGGTAATTTACCACTGCCCCCCAGAACAGTGCTAGTACAGATGCATCTGCTGGGTGAAGGATGGACAAATGTTTTCAAACTACATCAATACACAGCACAGCATCACCATCTTTAAGTCAGTAAGTACCTCCTCCTAGGCATTTCCCTCTCTTACATATTTCTTACTAGCCTCCCTGCTGGATCTCTGTAAACATGCTCAAAACTGTAGGGAGCTTCGTGTAGCCGCTCCCTAGGATGGCGCCGGTTTCCACCTTCCACCCCCTCAAGG